CTTAAACACAAAACATACTTGCTGGCGGGACATCAACAATAGAAGTTGCAGAGCTACCAGTTGCTTGAGAAGAGCTGGCAGCATGTAGCTGATTAGCAGCCATTTGCTGCTGTATTTGAATTTGTAGATCAAACTCAGCTTGATCATCCTTGAAAACAAAAAAATCTAAGTCTTAAGTCTTAGATACGATAAAAAGAAAAGATATAATTGCATCATATATACTTTCTCAATAATAAAACATTCAATGATCATTAGTTAACTGACTTTCACTCATTGAGACAGCATTATCATTATGTGAATAATAAGATGTGTTTATAAGTAACTTCTGACTGTGTTATAGAAAGAAAATGAACTATAAATCATCATCATCAACATAATCTAATAGTATGAATGCAAAATCATTTCTTCTCATTCAGAACACGCATTTGAGCACGCATAGACACACACGCACACACACGCAACACTTGACACAAACATACACATAACATCATTGGGTAGATCAAAATCTAACTGATCTACTATCATTCGATAGAATAAAAATAATCAATATATATATGTTCTACATTGTATTCTTCCTTTCTGGTTTTTTTTTCTAATTTTTAGCGATGTTAAATGCATGACGGTGATCATTCGAACATAAAATATAAATAATATAATGAATAAAAATGAAAAATTATTTTGTTTCTCAACCTGATGAGAAAAACAAAAAAACAGAAAAGTTGAGTTAAGTAGTTCAAGTTTGGTATAAGTACTGAATCACGTGCATACCTTAATATTTTGTTCTCCAGATGGAGAAGCCGCCATCAGGGAGGAAGCACTTTGCAATAACATTCCATTGTGTGACTGCATGCTCGCTACAATAAAACACACTGTTAGCTGAACAAAGTTAGTATATTCATCATAATGATGAAGATAATAAAAAAAAAAGAAAAATAATTTAAGAAAATTGAATTTTCTTATTAAAATTTCTTCTTTTTTTTCATTCAAATCGCCATTTCGTTCGTTCTTAACAAAAATTGAGTAAAGTCAGTCAATTACAGGAAATACAAAAAAAAACTTTTTTTTTCTCTTCAAAGGATGTGTCATAGATCATTTTGCATTTTCTCTTTTATAACTTTTTGGAATATAAAAATGTAATTATGAACACATAATGATGATGAGCCGAAAGTGAGTTTATGAAAGCGAAAAGTGACAAAGTACAACTGTCCTGTCTCAATATGAAACATTTTAGTTGTTACGTAACATTTCAATTCATGCAAACAAAGCGTGCTGCTTACTCCCTATCCAAATAATAAGATGAAAAAAAAAGGAAATGAGTATATATATATATATATATATATATTATAATAATAATAATAATATATATATATAATTGAATTGATGGACAAGAATGCAATTAGAAGTAGTAAGACTTTAACTTTCATGGGACAGTTGTTGTGTGTTCGTGTGTTGCACATAATGGAAAGACATATATGGTATCAGGCTTGAATGCATCATATTACTCTCATACAAATTGCTTTTTTCATTTTTTTTTTCACATATTGTTAATGATGAGTAAAATGATTTCAACACATCTATAATAGATGACATCATTAACTATCATTAACTATAATGCCTATATAATATATATAATAGCATTTCATATATATTTTCATTCAAAGATAAATCATGCACCACAGTAAGAATAACATGCGAATTGCTTTTTATAATTATTTTGTTAGTTTAATATAATAATTTTTATAATATTTCTCTTATTCTCTATCATTCTACACACTCACACCATCATCATCATGAGCAGCATCAGCAGCATCATGAATAGTATAAAATGAAAATGTTCATGAAACCTCTTGTCAATCACATAGTGTATAGACAATTGTGTTAACATACTATCTATTGAACGGAATATATTATAAAAATGAATTTACATATATAGGATATTCTGTCAACAAAACTGCCTCAACGTCACTCACAAGATTTAATTTGTTGAAATGCGAATGTTAATTGCAAACAGAGCGATTGGCAACTCGTTTGCTGGCTCTCCATCAAAGTTAAAGCTAAAATTGATGAAAATTCGTCTTTCTCTTCAACTCTCTTCCATTCATTCACTCTTTCATATAAATTTCTTTTTTCTGACCAAAATCTGAAGAATCAGTATTTGAACATCTGAGTAAAGGGTGTTGAAAGATGGAAAAATGATGAAGAGAGAGACTGTTTATATTAATTCCAAACAGTCTTTTTCTCATTCCTTCACCATTTTCAATTTCCGCCTCTCGCTTCTCAGACTTTTTATTTATTGAGTACGGGAACGTTGGAGGAGATGACATTTGCTTGACGGATTCGTCGTCATTCGCTTTATTTGATTTATCCAAATCATCCATCTATCTATATATTCCAATAGTTTGGTCAACTATAGAATGTGAATTGTATTTGTTCCTCAACATCAATTTGTGATTTATGGTAACAACCGCACACGATATTTCGCAATTCAAATGTTGCGAAAGATGAAGGCAGTCGTTTTCATCATGAGATGAGATAATCCAAAAAAGGAAGAAAAAAACGGAATGAAAAGAGAGATCTCATAACCTCTTATGAATAATGCATAATCGATAAGCAGTGCCGATTGTGTGATATCAGTCAACGAACTCAATCAATTCGCAACTTAATCGAAATGATATATTCAGTCATTTCATTCTTCCCAACCCCCAATTATACATTCATATAACTAGTCTTTGAACTATATGATATAGTTAAGTTCATCCATGTTATTATTATAATATATATATATATTGAAATTAGAAAGATAAAACTAACTGACATATACTTGTTGTATTAATCAACTTGCGTTTCAACCTCATTCGAAATTCAATATCTCTCGCGCAAAAGCATACCGACAGAAGCAGCAGCCAGCTGTTGCTGATGATGTGCTGCCTGTTGTAATTGCTGCAGCACTCCAGGATTCCCTGATAATTGATATAACGACTGCATATTATGCAGATGCTGAAATATGAATATATAAATTGATAAACTCTATTAATGAAGCAATAAAATTCAATAATAAATAAATAAATAAAAGTATTTGAAAGCGTTCTCATTCGATTGAAAACAGCACAACGAGTAACGAAAGAGAGAGAGAGAGAAATGGTGCATGATGATCAACCGACACTATAAATGAGAATAATTCAATTTTTGCTATTAATTATGGAAAATTATAAAATATGAATTAGGAAAGTTATTAACGATGACTTTATATGATCGCAAAGCACTAACGTCCTCTCTTTTGAAGCTTTTTCATCTACTAAGATATCTTTTACAATAAGAAACGGATATCAATTGATTTTTTTCTTGAGTCCATTTCATCTCTCCCCCCCCCCCCACATCTTCCCAGCCCTCTCCATATCTCCTCTCTGTGCACTCCGTTCTTCTGCTCACCTGTTTTATCAGATGAGGAAAGCTTTTAAGATGAGAATTTTGAAAACATATAATATACTACGTTGTATATATATGGCTTCTTCTAAGAAAGGATTTCTATTATTTCATATTTCATCATTATTTCATATTAATCTTATATTAACTATTATATAATCTATATATATATATATATATATATATAGAAATAATGAAATATTTGATTATTCTGTTTAATATGATATTCAAAACCGGAAAAGCTGACACAATGACTTGTTTTCATGAGTGAAATGGTTGAATTATTATCTTTCGACCCATCTAGAGGCAGTTACAATACATGGAAGTGTTCATTAATAGGTCGAATAAAGTAAGAATGAATAACTTGGAAATGCAATACAGGCATTCAAGGTAAAACATAGTTGACGGGTGAAGAGAGGGGGGGGGGGGGGAAGATGAGTAAGGGAGAAAAGGTAATATGACAGGAGAGGAAGAGAGGTGAAAAGACCGTGAATTGAAGTACAAACGTAGCCGCGTAGTATTGATTGATCGATTTATGAGGAAAACGAAAAAAATCTTTTTTTTCTTGTCTATTTCTCAAAAGAAAGAGTTCAGTTTGCTTTGACAATTCTGTCATGCATCGATCATTTCTTGGCAGGTTTTTTTCGTTGGAAAAGCAAAAGAAAAAAAAAAGAAATCTTCGTTGAAGTAAATGAGTTACAATTGGAAAAGAAGTAATTTTGAGGTTTTTCTCAGAAAAATAATATGACAAGAACGTGTAATTTCTTCTGATATAACTGGAAAACAGGAGGCTATTTACTGAAAAAAAAAGAAATTTTTTTCTTTTTTCTCTGCTCAATGTTGAAAGAAATTGATACAAAATAGTATGTACACACACACAGACACATACATACAACATACATGCACATGTACATACACATTCGTTCTCGGAGATTAGTGCGTGTTAAGAAAATATCTTTACTTCTTGTAATATTCAAATAGAAAATGAACTGAGAGAGAGAGAGAGAGAGAGAGAAGAAGAGAGAGAGAGAGGAAGTGAATGTGGTTATTCAAAAAAAGAGAAAAGCATGATCATCAGTTCGAAGAGTAAGAAAACCTTGCAATCATAACTAACAGAGAGGAAGAAAGAGAGAGAGAGAAAGAGAGAGAGAAAGAGAGAGAGAGAATGTAAGCTGAAGAAAAAAAAAGTTTTTTTCATCAATTTCTCGAAGTTTAATGTTGTGAGTGAATAAGATGTTTCATGATTAACCCATATTGTTGAACCATTGCATGACAATATATATATATATATATATATATATATATTATGACTTTCTCACAATGAAACAATGTAATGTAACAAAAACATGGATTCTCATGGATGATTCAATAGATTTTAAGGGCACAAATGGGTCTTCAGTTACAATAGCCTTTCCAATGACTTACCACACTCAATGTAACCTCGAAAATGAAAATTATTTCTCATTTGATCATTTGAAATTGACTAGATTCGTATTGCTGCCCACACGACACTGACTAACAGGTGGCAGAATAAGAATTTTTAGATATTTTACATTTTCATTTTTCAAGGTTTTGTTAAGTGAAAAGAATGAAAATGATATAGCATGATTAACTAACCTTTGGTATGAAGCAGGGGAATATAGAATGAACTAGCATGGCTGTAACTGTTCCTTCAATTCAATTCTTCAATTTATTGCCAAATTTTTAGATTAAAAAATATAAATAAATGACAATGAAATATGAAGAAGAAGTAAGAAGAACAGAGTGTGGGAGTATTCTAGGGGAGTTAATGCTTATTCTCTGTTATGAGCTTGTTTTGGTAAGGCCAAGGCGTTCAAGAATTTCTCGTCCTTGCTTCCTTCTTTTTTTTTTTGACCAAAAACAAGTGTCTCGCGGAACGGAATGATCAAAATAGGGCCTTATGACAATATCAAAAAATGAATGAGAATACAGCCTTAAAGAGCGCTGATGGCGTCCTCTGTGGACATTTCGAAGATATGTCAAAGTGACATTATCCCCCTTTTCCCTTTCATTTTCGCCTTCTTCACCTCGTTGTGTCCTTCTAGCTGTTTGCATCGCCATATATGGGTGATGCATAAGGTTTTCTTTGTCTCCAAGTGCTCTACCCGCTTGTTAGATCTATGAACCAATCCCATTAAGTTGCGAAGCAATAAAGCGTGATATACATTACAAAAGAACAAAGGCTATGTTCAAACATGTCCATACAAATGTCCAACATTCAAAAAGGCCAACGTATTTTTTGGTTCCTTCTTCCTTCAAACTCCTTTATGACGCTTATTCCTTTAACGTCTTCAATTCTTCCTCCCAACCCCGCTTTCTCTCTCTCTCAATCTCTATCTTTTCAACAACATGTCAAAGGTTTGAGAAGAAAATGTCACACCGCATGTACAGCCCAAAAACAACAGATGTTTTGCATTGACCTCTAATGTGATCACTCATTGACTCTTCCTCTTACATTTTTTTCTTTTTTTTCCTCTTTGACATCACCCCCAACGGCAAAGGCTAATTAACACACAGATGGCCATAGACTCAATAACGATGCATTTGTTGTGATCATCTAATTGGCGTTCATCTTCTTTAATGACATTTGACTACCTCTTAACAAAAAAATTTCCTCTCTCTCTCTCTCTTTTCTTCATATTTCCTTTAAAGTCTTGGATTATGTTTTGTAGAGCTCATCAAAAGACAAAAGGATATCGCATGAATAGTAGATGGACACAAAAATTCTTTTCTCCTTCTTATTCTATTCTACTTCTTCATATTCTCACTAAATCAACGTCAAAAGCTTATTTTTGAGTTACTTAAGCATCTAAATACCGTAACTCTTTTTTTTTTTCTAAAATTTTAGAAAAATCATATAATTTTTCGCATGACCAAACATCATTATGAAAAACAAATTTTCAAATCTTTTTTTTTCTCCTAAATATTCAAAACAAGCTATTTCGCTAGCTATATGGGCTGTGTTAAACAACTATCATCCAACTTTTTCATCAAAAAAATGAAAAAATAATAATTTAAGCGAAAGAAACTTCGAAAATCAATGAAATGACATGGATCTACAACTGTTCCGTTCAGCTAACGGTCACTCATGCAAAGATTATTACGTTCTTAACGACCGAGGAAAGTCATTTGAACAAGCTAGGCAGTCAATGAGAAAGAGTTAGATGATGAAAAAAAAAAGGAAGAAAAAATTTTTTTTTCTCCTCATTTCAACTTCTTTCTCCAATCCATCTCATGACGTTATTGACATCATTGGACTTTATATTTTTGTTTTCTAGTGATTCCAAGACACGAAAAACATAATTAATTCGCATTCGGCATGAAATAAAGTTTCGAAAATTGAAAGAATTGTCGTATTTCTTTGAAGAACTCGTTCAACGTTATCTAAATGAGCCATAAAACATTGTAAGTCGCATGGCTAAGTTGAGAATATAGGATGTTCGCAAAAATGAATTCAGATGACAGACAGACAATTGTCTTAAATATGCTTAGTTCTATGATTCATACAAGACGGCTGTAAATTGAAATAAAAATACAAAAAAGGAAGATGAAATGGAGGAGAGAGAGGGCAATTCAGAAGATGTAGATGAAGAAGAACAAAATAGATGTCAAACTGTAAACGTAAAAGAAGTTGCGACGTGATATTTCATCGGTGTCAAAGAAATTACTTCATTTGAAGATTTTAATCTTGATCTAACTCACAATGCAAAACGATATTTGTTAATATCGGGTTCTAGAATCAAGTTTCGAAAAGGGTCGGAGTTCAAGTTGTTCATAAAGTCAACACAGTAGAAGGAGGACTAGAAATATAAAAAATACGACTTTTCTCCTGTCATGAAGAGCAAAAAAAACTGAAATAAAAAGAGACAGATAAAGAGAGAAAGAGAGAGTAAAGGATTAAGAGAGAGAGAGATAAAGGGAAGAGAGGGGAAAAAAAAAAGTTTTTTTTCTCAGCAAACTGAAGATAGGAACACAAGTAAGAGCATACAATTAGAGATAATTACCAAAGTACTCGTAAAGCACATTTAAGAATGAAGTTGTTATGGAATGAGAATTGAGATGGCTTCTCTTTATTTTTTATTTTTTGGTCTATCAAATAGGGGTTAGTCAAAGACGGTATATTAACTTTTAGAAGGGTTTAGCAAATACGGTGAAACTACAAAACTATTCATCTTTATAGACAGTAGTTGACCTGTAGCATTTGAGGCATAGTAAAGGGTAAAAGACTAAGATAATATAAGAGAAACAGGAGGCTAAGCTCTTATACCTGTACTCCCCTGCTGATGGAGAAATACAAGCTTTATTCTATTCTCTCATTTCTCTATCTTTGAGGTATCTTTCAAGCCTTTTCTCTCTCTCTCTATTATTCTTTGGTTTTCTTATTATCCCTTTTACTCTTTCAAGCTCTCCCCTATATAAACTATCTCTATTCATTAGAGTCTTGCATTACTTAATCTACCTACTTAGGTCACCTGCCATCACTTGAAAATATTCCTGAGAGGCGGATATAGATGTATAAATATATATTTTGAAAGGCAGCGGTAACCTATTAA